TGTTGTTACCTTGGTCAAGAGTGTTGTATAGTTGAGCTTGAAGATATTAGAGCTAGGGGACGTCAGATTGACCCCCAAATATCTCAGAGGGGGCCCAGGAGAAAGGGGATATAGCAGTTATAGCGGTTTTTAGCATTGGTGGAACATTAATGGCTAACATGTGGGATTTCGAATGGTTTACCTTATAAAGGGACAGATTGCTAAAGCGAGTAAGGATCTCCTGAACTGCCGGTAAGGAATGCAAAGGGTCCGTGAGGTGGATTAACACATCGTCTGCATATAAGCCAATCTTGTGATGATGTTGACCAACCGTAATACCTTTCACCTCTGGGCATGTTCGAATAGATGCTGCTAAAGGCTCCATCACTAGGGCGAAGATTAATGGCAATAACGGGCAGCCTTGTCGTGTGCCATTAGTGATGCAAAATGGGGAGGAGAGCAACCTTGACGTGCGAACCCTTGCATTGGGTTGAGTATATAGGGCTGTAATTGCAGAACCTATAAAGCCCGTGAGGCCAAATTTATCTAGGACAGCCCTCAAATAACCCCAATGTACTCTATCGAAGACCTTCTCCGCATCTAACGAAAGAAGCAGAGCAGGCCTCCCAGATCGCTCTGCATGTTGCACCAAGTCAAGGAATCTCCCCGTCCCCACAGGAGCCTGTCTGCCGTACACAAACCCCACCTGATCCGGGTGAATCAGATCAGGGAGAATGTGCAGGAGACGATTAGCTATGAGTTTTGCATATATCTTTACATCCGTATTGAGCAAAGAGATAGGGCGGAAATTTGCAGGGTCATCTGTTGGCTTATTCTGCTTAGGAATAGTAATGATAGTAGCCTCAAGAGATTCACCAGGTAAGGATCCCACTGTCGCAGCCTCGTTGGCGACAACACATAATTGCGAAGCTAATACTGTCGAGAATGCCTTATAGTATTCTGCTCCATACCCATCAGGGCCTGGAGTTTTATTTAAGGGTAGATTTTTAATAGCAGTAATGACTTCAGAGTCAGAAAACGGGATCTGAAGGCTCTTTAGCAATTCTGCTGGGACCGAAGGGAGTGATAGGGAGTCTAGAAAACATTGTATCTCCATGTTAGACGGTGTAGGGGAAGATGGGGAGTCCTTTAGGTTGTACAAGAAAGAGTAGTACTCACTGAAACGATTAGCAATTTCAAGCGGATTATAAAGTCTATTCCCAGTACTATCTAGAATGTTAGGAATTTTCGCGCTTGCTTTGCGACTTTTAAATTGTTTGGCTATGGATGCTCCAGGTTTGTTACCTTGGGAGTAATACTTCAGATTGAGCCGTTTAATCATGAAATCGTATTGAGACATCAGAAGGAGGCTAAGTTCATGTCTAAGAATAATCATTATGCCCCATGACTTGAGGATACGAACACAATCCGGTGGAGAGAGGATTGGTATCACCTTGTTTTGATGGGAAACCAGAAGTTTTGTCGGGAAGCCCCATCTATACAAGATCTGACTATCACGTAGAGCTTTGGTAACAATGGCAAATTCTTTGCGTTGTTGAGCTGAGGCAGCCGAGATATCAGCATAGAGTGAAATATGGGAGTAGGGTTCCGGAAGCGCTGGGGATTGCTTAGAGGCCAGCATAAGTTTATCTTTGGTGTGAAAGAAATGGATGCAAGCAATTACATCTCTTGGAACAGATGCTGGCAAATGGTTAGGCTTGTGCAGTCTGTGCGCTCTGTCAATCATCAATTCAGAGCTTGAGCAGTTAGGCAGTAGCGCATGAAGAAGTTGATGAAGATATTCTGGGAGTTCCCTAGGTCCCACTGCTTCAGTTCTTGAATTTAATATTGTTGCGCCTAGATCTGTCTTCTAAATCGGTGACTTTTGCTTGCAATTTCTGAATGAGGGTACTCTGATCGGCATGGGCATCCACCAGATCATTATAGGCGGCCGCATAATCATTTCAGTGCGGTCTGTGCGTGTTCCCAAGTCTGATATTTGCGACTGGAGTACCACAATAGAAGATTTAAGGTCCTGCTGTAATTCAGAGCGCAGTGACAGCAACATATATTTCATACAGCCTTCAGACACTGGGTTATCTGTGACAGGCACATCCTGCAATAAAGTTGTATTAGAACTGACAGTTGCATTAGCAGGCACTGAGGCTAAGGATTTTTTTTTACTAAAAGTTTCTTTGGTCTGTGGTGAGCCGAGGGGGGAGCTGGCAGGTCTTTTAGACTGATCTGTAGAGTTGAGAGCTCCCTGACTACCTCCCGCCTCCATCTCTGACTCATAGCTGTCAGATGTGTCAGGAGGGGCTGAGGTAATTACTGCGCCGGCGCCATTTTGTCTGTATCGCGGCTCCGGCCGCGGATAGTAATCTGTCAATTTCCTCGGTCCCTTCTGTTTCTTACCTCCCATCTCGTCCAAGCGGATAGAGCGTCCGTGGTTAGCTGCTAACCAGGGGACGCTGATCTGTCTCTGCATGCAAGTGGCCAGAGCCAACCAATCACGTTTTAAAGATTTATTATTGAGTCTGATTTTAAAGTGACCAATTATCCATTGTGATAATATATATCTGGATGGTTGTTTATCCAGTTTGGGGTCACATTGTTTACAATCATTATAGTTTGTTTGTGGCACATCTTGATTATTTTTCACTATTGATTATTTTTCACTATTATGTTTCACTAATAATTAAGATTATTGGGTATCTTATAGATTTGTTATTATTTAGGTTTAATAGGGTATCTAGCGCCGCATAATCATCATTTATACTCACACCTGCCTGCTGCCATTCCTGAGCATGCTCTTCACTGGTGGTTCCCCCGATCCCGCAGCTGAATCAACTTTAGGAGATGGCCCTGGCGCTTGCTGGACTTTCTTGGGTGCCCTGAAGCCTTCTTCACAACAATTGAACCTCTCTCCTTGAAGTTATTGATGATCCGATAAATGGTTGATTTAGGTGCAATCTTAGTAGCAGCAATATCCTTGCCTGTGAATCACTTTTTGTGCAAATCAATGATGACTGCACATGTTTCCTTGCAGGTAACCATGGTTAACAGAGGAAGAACAATGATTTCAAGTACCACCTTCATTTTAAAGCTTCAGTCTGTTATTCGAACTCAATCAGCATGACAGAGTGGTCTCCAGCCTTGTCCTCGTCAACACTGACACCCGTGTTACCGCGAGAATCACTGACATGATGTCAGCTGGTCCTTTTGTGGCAGGGCTGAAATGCAGTTGAAATGTTTTTTGGGGGATTAAGTTCATTTTCATGGCAAAGAGGGACTTTGCAATTAATCTGATCACTCTTCATAACGTTCTGGAGTATATGCAAATTGCCATCATACAAACTGAAGCAGCAGACTTTGTGTAAATTAATAAATGTGTCATTCTCAAAACTTTTGGGCACAACTGTACATTTTAAAACAAAATAAATACATGTGTTGGTATATTTAGCTCAATTTAAAAACAAATCAGAAACTAGTTTTTTTTTGTTTTTTTTACGTTTTTACTCCAAGCAAATGTAAAAAATCTCACTGGTTTCTAAGCTACTATGCTGATTTTTCACTTCATAGGCTGCAGCATCCTCATGTATATAATTGTTATCATATCCTCATGAATGAATACATTGAATAATGAATACATTATAAATGATGAACCTAGTGTCAACAAACAGCCTGGATTCGTGGTATCTTGCGGCCACTCCAGACTGGGAGAAGATCTACTTGCCCAGAACACAGACAGCAATAAAATTTGACAGATGATGAAGTCCCGTGGCCACTTAATCAATATGGAGAATTCTAAGTCACTGTTTAGTGAATAGTGATAATGTATAGCAGACTTTGCTGAGCCTGTTAACCGCACATTACTATAAATTTGTCTTGCCTGTTCATAGTTTTTATGGTTTCTTAAGACTTCAATACTTTCCAAACTTGATGGAATTCAGTCTTCAGTGTATCTATACATGATGCAGTCAAACCAATATAACGATACAATAATTAGGTACAATATTAGATAACAGACAAAAACATCTGTCAGAACAAAGGGCTGTTGGCTGCGTCAGATTTATATATCCAGTAGCTTGTAGTTACCCTTATGATTGGTAAAAATGATCAAAGACCGCCGATTGTATTTACCCCAATATCTTTTAGGTAATAGTGTATGGCGCTGCCTGCCACTTCCCACAGTCTTGGAGTTATTCCACTGATTAAGAGGGGGTCATCTCAGTGGAATAACCTACATTGCCCATCTGTTATGGAGGTGGGGGAATTAAAGGTCCTATTTCATAGGGAAAGGTTGGAGGCTGAGCAACAAAGGGACCTCAGATCAGAATCCTTCTTCAGTAGATGGAAGGATTTTCTCAATAAGATGTTTAATTTTGGAGAGATTGCTCAAAAAATGAGACCTTTCGAGCATACTGTCTGGTACCTTACTGCACAGCTTTCCAATACTTATAGAATCCAGGACAACACATTGGATAACAAGTTGGATGGATAAGCAGAAATGAGACCAGGCACAGAACATAATTTAAAAAAAAAAATGTTTTCTACGTGTGGGGGCGACCAGCGCATAGTGGTAAATAGGGGTAGGGGTTAAATGTAAGTTGGTTCTGTACCAGTTGTGTCTTGTAACTTGTTTTTTATTGTATCTACTAAAATACTAAAAATTCAATAAAATATGTGGAGAAAAAAAAAAGAGGGGGTCATCTAATTGCTGTGGGATTTTTAGGGGAAAAACTTCAGATTTACTACAATTTATCTCTATTGCCTATGAATATTCCTGCTCAGTCTCATATGTACACATGCATATCATGCATATGTACACACTGCCTGCTTTGTAACCTGTCCTTGTGAGATCAATTTAGCTTAACTTGTTTTGGTAAGTTGTGATTTACTAAATAGGTTAGTCTGTTCATTTCAATTTATGTTGGGAAATTAAATGTAACCACCTCGTACTGCTCATCCAGAGAGAAGATAACAATCCTAATTTTTATATTTTGCCTTTCCTTGTACAGATTTAAGAAGAATTACTGCTGGGTTCTTGGGCATGGCTGCAGCAGTACTCTTGTGTGGATGCATAGTGGCTGCAGTCAGCTTCTTCTGGGAAGAGAGTCTTACACAACATGTGGCTGGACTGCTTTTTCTAATGACAGGTACTTCCTCCTAAAGTTTTTGCACTAATAAAGCAATTATCATAAATACAACCTGCTTCTCATGTGTTTAATAAAGCTCAACTCAAAGCAGCATGTAAAGCACTCAAACCACACATCCTATCAGGGGCTGACTGGCAACTTTTAGCCCGGGGGGCAAGTACAACCCAGAGGCCCATGGTGCAGCAACTTAGCCCCCCTCCCACTCTGCCTCTTCCCCAGCCCCTGTCTGCCACTTTTGCCATCCATGTAACAGTAGTGTGAATGGTCGGGAGATGTGAGGACTCCTAGTAAGTCCATGAAAGGGATATATAGGAATACAAAATCCCAGCAATAGATACAAATAAATCCCAGCAATAGTACATTATACATACAGTGTATAATGTATTGCTGGGATTTGTTGTCCTCTGTATAATATACCGCGCAATGTACCATCAGCTATAGAGGAATACAAATCCCAGCAATACATTGTAGAGCACCATGTGGGGGGATCCTATACATGCAATGGAAGTGTGTTAGAAGTAAGAAATTCTGCTCAATTTTCCTTTAACCCTTTCACTGCCAATGCGTTTTTTGAACATGTTACAATCCACATTTTAGACCTGAAAATTACTTAAAACCCACACAAAACATATATATTCTGAAAGCAAGCACCCTGTACAATAAAATGGTGTCAGAAACACGGTGCCACACTGAGGGGAAACACAGGGGCCAGACTGAGGGGAGATACAGAGGCCAGACTGAGGGGGCACACAGGGGCCAGACTGATGGGGGACACAGGGGCCAGACTGAGGGGGGGGGACAGGGGCCAT